ACTCCAGTCGAGTTGCTCCATGCTCCAGTCGAGTTGCTCCAGTTGTGCCGCTGCTGGCAACACAGCTCGTCCAAATCACCAACTAAACTAGTGGGCGGATCGCTTTCGGAGCGCTTTCGAAGTCCTGCTCAGCAACCAGCGCACCTTTCGTCGTGAAGCGCCACACCTCGCTTCCTTGGCAGCCAAGTAACTGCTTCGTGTGGCGCATATGCTTCCCCGATGCGCTGCTTTTTTACCGTAATCGCTTCAAAAAGTTTTGCCAGCCGGTAAGGGCCCAAATAGTGAAACACCTTTAGCAACCTCCAAAAACCAACGCATCGTTTTGCTTGGAAAAAGTGTTGAATACCGGAGATGGATTATAAAAATCTCCAAATCACTGAACCATACCGGGCCACTCTGTTGCGCCAAAGACAGCAGGAATCCGGCACTAGACAACGTATCATGATCACGCTTGTTCGAGCCTAATGTTAGGACTGTTAGAAACAAGCACAAAGGTGAAACGACTGACCATGGTAAAGGAAGTGGAAAAGATGAAATAAGCTGGCCACTGAAGAGGGATTAAGAAGTCACTTTAAGGCTCAGCAAGACATTGAAATGAAAAGTACACAACATTCAGTTGAGCTAGAATTAATACTTCACCACTACGCCGCGCCCACATTAATTTCATATTCTAAGTAAACCTTCACACGCTAATTCAATGAGGCAACCTTACACTCAGAAGCAATTTTAGTTCTTCCACACAGTCACAAGCAATGTGACGGAAATTACATTTTGAGTGTCAACTTGTCGCTACCGTACATCGAATTAAGCGATTTCCTCTGTAACAATTTATAAAATAACTGTTCAACAATTACGAATCCAACACGACCTCTGCAGACCTAATCATAGAAAAAACCGGAACAGCATACACATTCCCCTAACATCGGCCAGCACACATTTTCAGAGCAATCTTCTAGAAATTTGAACAGTCTCTTACGACGGCATGCTCTCAGAATGTTTCAACAACAACAACGAAAAACAGATTGACCGCCGTTGATTTAAGACGGCAGTTCCACACCCAAACAATAATGAAAACAGAGGTGAGACAGATTAGGCAAGACTGTCGACGTGTTGATTGATGCTGTGAATATTGGCGTGTGACTGCTTCAAGTTGTTCACGAGTGTCTGCAGTCGCTTCTGAAGATAAAGTCAAATTTGATCACTTATTTACATGGACAACATGAAGTAAACCAATGTGGAATATTGGGTACCCGACAGGAGGCCCACTGTGCGGCAAGAAGGCAGCAGCGGACGAGTTGTTGCGCGTACTGCAGTGATTTCGCGTCAAGTTAAATAGAATGTACCACTGTACGTCCTATATCGCACATAACGCGCTGCGACTCGTCCGCTAACTCTGCCTTCTTGCCGCGCGACGGGCTTCCTGTCGGGCACCTTAGAATACTTGCTGAGCTGATTAATAGGTCGTTGGCAATGAGACCCAATGTGTACTACCATATGCATTCAACCTCAAACAACCTAAACGAGCTATAAAATTTATACCAGTAACACTCATTGATCCACTGCCCTTATCGTGAAACCATTCTTTCACGAGGTAACAATTGAGCTTTGATGGACGCGTACAGTACCCTTTTGATGCTGTCACAAATTTTTAAATATTCAGAGCCTCCAAATAGTTCTAGAGAATCGACAACAGATGATAATCGAAGAAAATGCGTTTTACGACGGTAGCTCGTTCATGCAATGGGTATTCTCTCATCTTGATGCTAGAAATGCTGCCGTCTTCGTTTTATGTTAGTGACGGCCAACATTAGAAGCTGAACAGCGTGGACGACAACTGCCACTATCGCCCCGCCGTCCAGTAGCTCCAAGCACTCCAACACACAAATGCACAGTCAGTCTGATGCACAGCTCCGCATGCATTTCAGGCATGGTCTTCTGCCTCCTGCGCAGTTTTGTCAATATGACTAGGTTGTCCAGTCATTCGTGTGAAGGACTGAGGGCGAGGAAGGAAAGCACAGTCATGCTGAGACAATACGTCATGTACCGCTTCGCTATTTGGACCTCGTCAATTGACTTCAATTAGACCCATTTGACTGGTAGCTCAAAAACTGAACGATATCAGTGAATGGGTTGGCGCGCATACCTAGGTTCACTATCAAGCTCGAAAAACGACGTCACCGTACATTCTAGTTTTGATCGAAAAAAAGCTTTAATTAAACATGGAGAACTGATGACCGTTCTCTCTTGTTAAAGGAATCTTCCACGGACCATGGACCAGTGGGCGGGACCGGAAGTTTTTGTGACGAAATGCATGGTAGGTACGGATCCACGTGTCGAACGCACGAACGTGAACAGGATTCACTTCAAACCTTCCCATGAACGTGGATCCGTACCTACCATGCATTTCGTCGCAAAACCACTTCCGGTCCCGCCCACTGGTCCATGGTCCGTGGAAGATTCCTTTAACTCTCCATATACGGTGTGTAGGCTCACTGGGACCAAAGCAAAACAAGTATAATAACTGCATGATGTTACGGATGCTCGAGGTTAGTGGATAAGGCCTATCTAGAAGAATCTCGGCGTGCCTAAGAGTTTGAAATGTTTTATGGGACTCCTTTGTCTCTCAAGGAGTCGCTAATCAAAAGTCGCGATAGACGGTGAACGGGAGGAGAAAAACGTTCAGACAACCACAATCTCAGAAGTCGAAGAATTTAGTTATCAAGGTGATGTAAAGCTACAGACACAAACCTGCAGAGTTTGCCATTGTTCTCGTCCAAACTGCCGGTGTTGGAAAGAGCTCACAACTAATGTCCGCGTCATTTCATTTAATTTGCCCTGAGAGAAATAAAACTTTCAGGTTTGTGGTTCCCATGATTTGAACAACTTGGAACTCACAGAAATAGCATTCACTTGAATAGCGTCAATGATGAACTCTTCCAAGTGATCATCTGGTGACAAATCCAGCTCTTCTGCGAGAGTATCAAGATGTATAACCTACAACTTCGCTGATGACTCAAACGAAATGAGAAACATGCGCTCTGGTGGCTTACGTGGTTATTTTCTGCAATGCTCATTAGTGTGAGAAGCCTGATCTTCTTCAACAGCACAGCTTCCTCGACCTGCACAGATATTTCAATTTGAAAAAGCAAACGATCAATCAAGCTTTAACCATGGGTGAATGACAAACCTTGAGTTTATCTCCAACGAATTCAGGGTGGGCTTTGACAAATGCACGATAGTCTTTGAGGGTTCCGGAGATGAACAGTTCAAGAGCCGAGTACATCAAGGGATCGGACTGAAAAGAATGGGTGGAACTCACGAGGACGCTTACGAAGAAAAAAGATCGCGCATACACATGAGTGAAATGAATCACCTTTTGTAAAGCTTTGACAGCACAGAGACGTTGAAGATGGTCAAATGAGAAGGATTTGGGATCAACAACTGCAGTCCGTACACATTCGATTGCGTCTTCTCGCGCCAGCGCTGCATCTTTCTCAGTGTAAGTACCCAGCAGCATAATCATTACCTAAACATATTCGGTAAAAAAGGAATGAAAAAGGCAGAAAAATCAGGTCCGACCTTGGCCGCTTGATCTGCTTTTTGATCTTCAAGAAGACCAATATGGACTAGACGGAGGATATCACGTTGCCCATCAACAGCTGTTCCCCACTGCTTGAACTGCTTTTGCAAGTTCTCCGTTGAGCAGTCGAGTTCGCCAATCATACGAGCTTCAGAGCACATGGCAACGAGTGCTCGGTACAGTACCTCCTGCAATCAGACATATTCGACCCCATGGCGATCAAACACCATACTTGCGTAAAGGCCAACATCCACAGTAATGCACACTAAAAATAGGAGCGCATTACAATCTCTGACGTATACACGTTAGAGAAATGCACAAAAAGTGTAAGTAAATATTGATAACCAGAACTGAACACAATGTCCTCCTAACCTGAACTTTTTCTGATTCAAAAAGGAATCGAGCAAAGAAGAAAAATGAGTCACCTGGATCTTAGGATGAGCGGCGAATCCTCGGAACAAATTTGATAAAACATGGACAGCATGACCTGCCTAAAAAGGAAATCACTAATCCTTTCAAGCTTCATAGAAGACTCTAATGAATAAAGAGTAGATACATTGCTATTCCACCCGAGTCCTTTGAAATGGGCAGGAGTGATCGCTTTACAAAAAGCATTGACAACAGTTAATGCCTTCTCAGCTGGTACCAATACCATGAGCGAGCAGATCGAGTTGAGAATAAAATCAACCTGAACAGAAGAACAGATTTATTTATGGTTCAAGAGAAGAAAAAAAGCAGAAAATTTTACTGGAACACTGCTTACCTCCACAGGATGTGGACAAGCACCCATTACCGTAAGTTGTGAACAGATATCGATCAAATTATCTGACACATCGGCCGGCCCTAAAATCACACTCTTTAGCGGAAGACCTAGATTTTTTGTCGGATACACACCTTTCGGGTCCAACTTAGCTTTTCCAACGTTGTTGAGATATTCGCGGAGTTGTTGAAGCTGTTCACCATCGTCTACAAACGCAAACACGGGGAGGATTTTATGATCCCATCGTTCTCCGAGGGTTCGCCCGCTCATCCTAGTCCGGTGACTCTTTCCTCTTCTTTGCTCGATTCCTTTTTTGAATCAAAAAAGTTCAGGTTAGGGGACATTGTGTTCAATTCTGGTTATCAATATTTACTTACACTTTTTGTGCATTTCTCTAACGTGTATACGTCAGAGATTGTAATGCGCTCCTATTTTTAGTGTGCATTACTGTGGATGTTGGCCTTTACGCAGGTATGGTGTTTGGTCGCCGTGGGGT